TTCAATTTTCTTATTATTATTCAATCAACACAAGAGAATTTTGATAGTACGATTACGACCTTAATTAGGGGAATGGTTGATAGGCATATGTCACCTCATCTAGCTAGCTATCTTAGACTCGCCATTTTTGTGCTAGTGAGGTAGGCACGTACCATTTTTTTTCTTTTGCAGGGGCACGTACCCTCGTTGTTGTGTTATGGTGCACACTGACATGTGGAGCAGGAAGGTAGAGCATGGTGGAACGCAGGGCTCTTGAAGGGTAGCGTACATAGTTTTTTTGGTAGGCTAAGCAGGTGGAGCACGAGTGAGTAGTCGGTTATATGTGTTAGGCCACAAGGGTGGTGTGGAGTGGAGTATTGCTACATTGTAGCATGTAAGATGTAATTGTATCTGTGGAGGGATCTTTCTGCCCTTTTCCCCCTTATATAAAATGATACGCATGTTGTGCGTATTCAAAATAAAAATGGTGCACCGTGACATGGATTTGACAGCCTAACAACACTAACAATGCCGTGTTAGAGCATCTACAGCTGGACTTGCAAATCCGACCCGCTAGATGTCCGCGGAGGCGCCCGGGCATATCCGGGGGCGCATCCGGACGGGTCCTCATATTTCCCTTCCGGCATGCACATATCTCATATCCGGACTCTGAAATCCATGCAAATTCATGCACGTCGATCATAAACGATAATGTCGCAGGTAAATAACAAATGTTGGTACGAGCATAGATAGCGTTTACATAGAATTTATAGTAAGTACACAACTCAAGCTTTAGCTCCTTGGTTTCCATTGTGGATCCACATGTGCTCCACAAGATCATTGAGTAGCTGCGTGTGCACCTGATGATCTTGACGATCCTGATGCATCTACAAAAAGTTCATAAGCTGAGCCGCATCTTGATCTTTCGGAATTTCAACTTGTTCTCCCTATGCTTCAAAATCATGGGTGTGGGTTACACCATCACCCTCATCCTCGACAATCATATTGTGCAGAATAACACAATATGTTTTTAGCTGCCACAAAGTTTCTGTCTCCCACATCATAGCGCTCCACACAACTCCCCAACAAGCTTGAAGCACACCAAATGCCCTCTCCACATCCTTCCTAGCCACTTCCTGCATTGTTGCAAAGTGGCTCTGTTTGTTGCCATGCAATTCAGATATGGTCTTTACAAACGCCGCCCACTGAGGATAGATACCATCGGCAAGATAGTATCTCACGTTGTACTCTCGGCCATTGATGGTTGATGTATACTACACAACCTTCTTCTTGTACACGTTGTTGGGCCTCCAAGTGCAGAGGTTTGTAGGACAGTAGGAAATTCCCTCAAGTGGATGACCTAAGGTTTATCAATCCGTGGGAGGCGCAGGATGAAGATGGTCTCTCTCAAACAACCCTGCAACCAAATAGCAAAGAATATCTTGTGTCCCCAACACACCCAATACAATGGTAAATTGTATAGGTGCACTAGTTCGGCGAAGAGATGGTGACACAAGTGCAATATGGATGGTAGATATAGGTTTTTGTAATCTGAAAAAAATAAAAATAGCAAGGTAGCAAGTAACAAAAGTGAGCGAAAATGGTATTGCAATGCTTCGAAACAAGGCCTAGGGTTCATACTTTCACTAGCGCAAGTTCTCTTAACAATGATAACATAATTAGATCATATAACAATCCCCAACATGCAACAAAGAGTCACTCCAAAGTCACTAATAGCAGAGAACAAACGAAGAGATTATTGTAGGGTACGAAACCACCTCAAATTTATTCTTTCCGATCAATCCATTGGACTTTTCCTATAAGTGTCACAAACAGCCCTAGAGTTCGTAGTAAAATAACACCTTAAGACACACATCAACAAAAATCCTAATGTCACCTAGATACTCCAATGTCACCACAAGTATCCGCGGGTTTGATTATACGATATGCATGACACAATCTCAGATTCATCTATTCAAACCAACACAAAGAACTTCAAAGAGTGCCCCAAAGTTTCTACCAGAGAGTCAAGATGAAAACATGTGCCAACCCCTATGCATAAGCTCACAAGGTCACTGAACCTGCAAGTTGATCACCAAAACATACATCAAGTAGATCACGTGAATATCCCATTGTCACCACAGATAAGCACATGCAAGACATACATCAAGTGTTCTCAAATCCTTAAAGACTCAATCCGATAAAATAACTTCAAAGGAAAAACTCAATCCATTACAAGAAGGTAGAGGGGGAGAAAATCATACGATCCAACTATAATAGCAAAGCTCGCGGTACATCAAGATCATGCCAAATCAAGAACACAAGAGAGACCCCGAGGGTGAACTACTCCCTCCTCGTCATCGAGAGCGACGGGATGATGAAGATGGCCACCGGTGATGATTCCCCCGTCCGGCAGGGCGCCGGCACAGGGTCCCAATTGATTTTTGGTTGCTACAGAGGCTTGCGGCGGTGAAACTCCCGATCTAGGTTCTGTTCTAGAAGTTTGGGGATATATATATAAGAGGTGTTGGGGTCGGGAACAAGTCAGGGGGGGTCCACGAGGCAGTCACGAGGTAGGGGGCACCCAAGGGGTAGGGCGCACCCTTCGCCCTCATGGTGGCCTCGGGACTCTTCTGGTCAATCTCCGATGCTCCGTGGGCTTCTTCTGGTCCAAAAATAATCTCCATAAATTTTTCAGGTCAATTGGACTCCATTTGACATTCCTTTTCTGCGATACTCAAAAACAAGGAAAAACATAAACTGACACTAGGCTCTAGGTTAATAGGTTAGTCCCAAAAATCATATTAGAACATATAAATGCATATAAAACATTCAGGATGGATAATATAATAGCATGGAACAATAAAAAATTATAGATACATTGGAGACGTATCAATGGTGTAGTTGCACGGCGGTGATTCCCCATTGCAAAGCCGCATGAACACCGGAGATCGTTGAAGCACGTTGATGTCGCTGTGAGAACTCGGCATTCCAAAGAAAGCATGCCAAGTCCATAAATCATGTGATGCCACCGCTTCTAGTATGATGGTGGCCTCTTTTATGTGACATTGATACATTCCCTGCAAACCTTTGGGGCAGTTCTTCCATTGCCAATGCATGCAATCAATTGATTCGAGCATTCTTGGAAACCCCCTTGCCTCTACAATAACCAACCACTTCTACGTGTCCCGCGCATTTGGTTCTCTTAGATACTCAAGTCCAAACACCTCCACCACGACGCGGGAAAACTTGATAGTAGTCTTCAAGCACGTGCTCTCCCCCATCCTGACCATCTCACCAACGGTATCTACAGCAGTACCAAGTGCAAGCATCCTCAGAGCAGCCATGCACTTCTGCTTGGCAGAGAAAGAGAGTTGTCCACAGCAATCCCTTGTGAGCTTGAAGTAGTCGTCATGTGCCTCCACTCCCTCCATAATGCACAAAAACAATGATTTCCGCATGCGAAAATGGCGACGAAACCATGGATCATCCAGGAAAGTACACTACCAGGGAAAACCTTATACACAGAAGTTTATCAGTAGCGCGGTTTAAAAATAGGTGCTACTGCTAATTAGTAGTAGCAAGGGGTATAAAAACCATGCTACTACTAAGTTGATTGTAGTAGCGAGGGGTATTAACCCGCGCTGCTACTAAATGGTCTCCAACAATGCCGCCGAGATAGGCCATAGTAGTAGCGAGGGGTATAAAACCGGCGCTACTACTAAGTAAGTAGTAGTAGCGCAGGTAAGACCCCACACTACTACTAAGCGTGTCCACCCCGGCCCGATCCACACTCCCAACACCCGATCCACCCTACCCCACCAACCGTCGTCCCACTCCACCCACCCCCGTCTAAAAAAATCCACCTCCGATCCAGATCCCCTCTTCCTCCTCCCGCGGCCGCACGGCACGCCAGTCGCCCTTCTTCCGCGACCTCGCCTCCCCCGTCCCGTCCCACTGCGGCGGCCCCCACTTCGCCTCTCCCACAGTCGCCCTGCCCTCCGCACGCCGCCGTCATCACAACGTCGCCCCCCACCCGCCCGGCCGCACCCACCTCCAGAGCAGGTGAGGATCCTTCACGTCGTGGTTTCTTCTCGTCGTCGTCGGCCGTGGTCTCCGCGCGCTCGTTGCTTGCTCTTCCCCGAGCCCCCTCCGACCCCGATTTCTGAGCAGTTCCTCGCACGCACGCGGCGCTGGCGGGGGTTCGATCCGTGCGTGGCTCGAGTGAAATCCATGGGCGAGATTTGGAGGACGTACGGGGGTTCGATTTGTGCGTGGCTCGGGTGAAATCAGTGAGCGAGCTTGCAGGTTGGAGCGCGGGGTCTTGGTTTGTGCATGTTTCGGGGTGAAATCCGTGAGCGAGCTTGGAGCACGGCGGTTTGATTTGGTAATCTCTGACGGTGTTCTCTGCAGGTGGCGATGTTTGCTTGTTAGGTCGATGGGTTTCTTGGTGTTTGTCATTGTAGGCTGCCTGGTGACTATGGGTTTGATCCCCTGGGGCTCGGGAAGCAGCCTAAGGACCTGAAGTGGTGACTATGTTTCATTTTCCAAGATTGATAACATTCTTTCCACATTGAAGCATCCTTGCTTACAGAAATCAAACATGAAATCGATGTCTTTAATGCTCCGCTGTGCTGCTATCATATCACATGGTCTAATTGATGTGTTTCTGTGTAGTTGATCCGTGTATCAGGACTCGGCTACCTACTAGTATGGTTTGAAGCAGGTGCCACAAAATTTGACTTCACCAACACCACAACACTCTTCTTTGTCTAGCTTCTCTTGATGGGTTAATTCGACATCCAACCAAAACATTTACTCAGAATTTGTTCAGTAACTCAGAAGTTTTAAATGGTGTAGACTGTAATGACTTGAAACACGGCATGACTGACCTGTTTCTGTCATAAATCTGATCCTTGACAGGTTTGTTGAAACCAAGAGGTACATGGAATCATGGATGCAAACAGTTCTGGGTTGTAGAGTATAGGCAGTCACATGATCCAGAATCATGTATACATGTCATGGACTCTAGTGTTGAATAATATGGACACTGACTGCGCTGTTTGAATCTACATACATACATGCTTTACTGAATTTTTGCTGCTTGGTCAGACTCTAGTGTTGAATAAGATGGACACTGACTACATTGTTTGCTAATTAATTATTTTGCTTGCTCCCACAAAAATTCACTATAATTTAGTTTACCGATTGGTCTAGTTGGATTTCTCAAGTGTTAGCAAAGTGCGCCACACTGCTGCTATCTTTAAAGTGAATATAGCTACAAAAATTTGGAGTTGCTGATGCTTCTTGTGTTCATTTCCTTGTTGTCGAATTCGTACCTAACTAGTCTAGTTAGTACTATTGCAGCAGGTTGATTGACGGAAAACTCTTGCCCCTGCTTAACATATCTAAAATCTAGTCAAATTCATCAACATCATATTTTTTACAGCAACAATGCATTCAATAATCTAACCTATCTATATGCACACTTTGAGGAAGAAACAGGAGATATATGTGCTTCTGTTGCTTCTAAATTATATACATGTGTTTTTAGTTATTCAACATGCTTCAAACTTTTTCTGTTCGATTTGGTGCAGGAGGATGCCCGAGCTGACCAGGAGGACACCCTTCTGCACCTCGGCCACCGCACAAGGTTGTCCTTCTATTTTATTCGTTGTTTGTTCATGTCCTACTTGTGTTTCAGTTCCATTGGCTCCTACTGCAAATAGGTCTATAATAGGTGCTTGTGTTCTGCATAGTAGCAGATCTGTTTATGTGAGCTACAATGGCCTACTTCTTCCTAATAATATGAACACTATCTCATCTTGCCATTTTCCCCTCTCTCCTGTAGGTTAACACCTGGAGAGGCTCAAGCTATGAGCAGCGAGTTGTTGCTGTTGCCGCCGGATGCTCCAGCGGTGAAACCTCCGTCGATTCCCTCCACGGCCACTATCACTACCCTAGCTACCGCCGCCGACGGAACGACCACCATATCCTCGCTCGGCCAAGACCAGCTCCTTGAGATCTTCCTCTGCCTGCCGAGCCTGCCAGCCCTCGTCCGCGCCACGCTCACCTGCCGCTCGTGGCTCGGCGCCGTCCGCTCCTCCCGCTCCTTCCGCAACCTCTTCCGCGCCCTCCACCCGACGCCCCTCATCGCGATCTTCCTCGATCTCGACAAAGGCAATGTCCGCTTGTTTGCCCCCTTCAGCCGCTCAGATCCCAGCGTTAATAAGGACATCACACTGGCAGATTAGCGCAATTTTTCCTTTTCCTTTTTCTTATTATTGGAGTGAGGATGTTAGAATGAGGAACTGTATGACAGTAGATACGACAATAGTGTAATAGTATAATCAGGAATAACGATATTTCCATCACTATTGTGTTTTCTTGAACTGTGTGCATAAAATGGAATTTTTCGATTTTATTTTTTTAATTCCTAATTCGTTAGTAGTGGCGTGGGGACAAATTTGCACGCTACTGGTATTTAGGATACTAGTAGCGTTGGTATTATAGACACGCTACTACTATTTCATTAGTAGTAGCGTGGGTTCATAATAGTAGTAGCGTGGGTGGAAACGCGCTACTACTAACTTTGTTAGTAGTAGCGCGGGTTGAACCCACGCTACTACTAACTATTAGCTGTAGCGCGATACTAGTAGCGCGGGTACCCGCGCTGCTAGTAGCCTTTTCCCTAGTAGTGGTAGGATTGGGAGCAAAGTATTCCCTGTGCAGTAGCTTTGCTTCGGACACCCTGGCCCGGTTGATGACTTTTCTCACTTTGATTGAGCCCTTGAAGTTGAAAATATGCTCCACTTGTCAGTCAATTTCCTCTTGCATGCTCATGAGCATAATCATGTCCACTTCTTCGTCCAAATCCGAGGAATCGAAGAACTCATCTTGAAATGGTCAAGCTTCGCCGGTCCATACTCCGCATCCGGTGAAGCATCGGAATCCATCGTTTTTCCTAACAAAATCACAAAAAATCCGGTCGGACAATGTGTGAACACATCAAGTGCAAGGCGGAGCCAAAGAGTTGCCGAACGTACCGCGGTGGCGTCCGGGCCGGCAATGACGTCCCCCGCAGCAAGGACAGGAGAGAGGACTGCTATGCCGGAGCTGGCGCATAGAGGCAAGGAATGGCTGCTGACCACGCTGATACGTCTCAACCGTATCTACTTTTCCAAACACTTTTGCCCTTGTTTTGGACTCTAACTTGCATGATTTGAATGAAACTAACCCGGACTGACACTGTTTTCAGCAGAACTACCATGATGTTGTTTTATGTGTAGAAAAGAAAAGTTCTCAGAATATCCTGGAAATCCATGGAGGCACTTTTTGGAATTAATAAGAATTTTTGGCGAAAGAATTAATGTCACGGGGCCCACAGCCTGTCCACGACACAGGAGGGCGCCCCCCCTAGGGCGCGGCTCCTATCTCGTGGGCCCCCTGGACCTCCACCGACGTCAACTCCAACTCCATATATTCTGTCTCAGAGAGAAAAAAATTAGAGAGAAAGTTTCATCGCGTTTTACGACATGGAGCAGCTGCCAAGCCCTAATCTCTCTTGGGAGGGCTGATATGGAGTCCGTTCGGGGCTCCGGAGAAGGGGATTCATCTCCATCGTCATCATCAACCATCCTCCATCACCAATTTCATGATGCTCACCGCAGTGCTGAGTAATTCCATCGTAGGCTTGCTGGACGGTGATGGGTTCGATGAGATTTACCATGTAATCAAGTTAGTTTTGTTAAGGTTTGATCCCTAGTATCCACTATGTTCTGAGATTGAGGTTGCTATGACTTTGCTATGCTTAATGCTTGTCACTAGGGCCCGAGTGCCATGATTTCGGATCTGAACCTATTATGTTTTCATGAATATATGTGTGTTCTTGATCCTATCTTGCAAGTCTATAGTCACCTATTATGTGTTATGATCCGACAACCCCGAAGTGACAATAATCGGGATACTTCTCGGTGATGAGCGTAGTTTGAGGAGTTCATGTATTCACTATGTGTTAATGCTTTGGTCCGGTTCTCTATTAAAAGGTGGCCTTAATATCCCTTAGTTTCTGCTAGGACCCCGCTGCCACGGGAGGGTAGGACAAAAGATGTCATGCAAGTTCTTTTCCATAAGCACGTATGACTATTTATGGAATACATGCCTGCATTACATTGATGAATTGGAGCTAGTTCTATATCACCCTATGTTATAACTATTGCATGAGGAATCGCATCCGGCATAATTATCCATCACTGATCCATTACCTATGAGCTTTTCATATATTGTTCTCCGCTTATTTACTATTCCGTTGCTACTGTTACAACAGCTACAAAAACCCAAAAACATTTATCTTTACTTTTGCTACTATTACCATTATTATCATACTACTTTGCTACTAAATACCTTGCTGCAGATACTAAGTTATCCAGGTGTGGTTGAATTGACAACTCAACTGCTAATACTCAAGAATATTCTTTGGCTCCCCTTGTGTCGAATCAATAAATTTGGGTTGTACTTCACCCTCGAAAGTTGTTGCAATCCCCTACACTTGTGGGTTATCAAGACTAATTTCTGGCACAGTTGCCGGGGAGCATAGCTCTATTCTCTGAGTCACTTGGTATTTATATCTATTGATCACTATGAAAAACTTGAAAGACGCTAAGACCAAGATTTTGCCCTCAACTACGAGGGGAGGTAAGGAACTGCCATCTAGCTCTGCACTAGATTCTCCTTCCGTTATTAGTAGGCTTGCGACACCCAAACCTGCTACTACTATGAATTCTGATATGTCGCATGTTATTGATGATGCCACTTCTGCTATGCATGATGAAACTACTTCTGTGTGTGATACTACTTTGCCATTAGGTGAATTTCTAGATGAACAACTTGCTTGAGTTAGGGGAATGAAAATATTAAAGAACCTATTATTGATGATAGTGATGATGAACGTTCCCCCAATGATTATGTATTACCTGTTGTTCCTAAGGGTTATGTTATGAGTGAATCAGCTGCTATGGAAATTCTTGCTTGCAATGATAGAAATGATCTTAAGAAATTATTAGCTAAATGGAAGCAGCAGTCTCTTAATGCTAGAATGAAACCCGACCTTGCTTTTACTACTTCACCTATCTGTGTTACTGATAAGGATTATGAATTCTCTGTTGATCCTGATATTATTACTTTAGTTGAATCTGATCCTTTTTATGGCCTTGAATCTGAAATTGTTGTGGCACATCTTACCAAGTTGAATGATATAGCCACCCTATTTACTCATGATGAGAAGTCTCACTATTTATATATCCTTAAGATATTTCCGTTCTCATTAAAGGGTGATGCTAAGACTTGGTATAATTCTCTTGCTCCTGGTTGTGTGTGTAGTCCCCAGGATATGATTTATTACTTCTCTGCTAAATATTTCCCTGCTCATAAGAAACAAGCTGCTTTGCAGGAAATATATAATTTTGTGCAAATCAAAGAAGAGAGTCTCCCACAAGCTTGGGGGAGGCTTCTCCGGTTACTTAATGCTTTGCCTGATCACCCTCTTAAGAAAAATGAAATACTTGATATCTTTTATAATGGACTAACCGATGCTTCCAAGGACTACTTGGATAGTTGTGCTGGTTGTGTTTTTAGGGAAAGAACAGTCGACAAAGCTGAAATATTATTGAATAATATGTTGACTAATGAAAATAATTGGACTCTTCCCGAGCCAGTTCCTGAAGTAATTCCCGAACCAATTGAGCCAACTCCTGAGCCTATTCCTAAACCCACTCCGAACAAGAGAGGTGTTTTATTTCTCAGTCCTGAAGATATGCAAGAGGCAAAGAAATCAATAAAAGAAAAAGGTATTAAAGCTGAATATGTTAAGAATTTACCACCTATTGAAGAAATACATGGTCTTAATTTACCGCCTGAAGAACCACATTGTCTTGATAACCCGACACAGGTAGCAAAGGTAAATTCTCTCTATAGATATGATAAAGTTGAAATACCCTCTACTAAATTTCATAGCCCATCCTTAGATGAATTTGATGACTTTATGGCTAGACAATAAAGTTTTAATGCTTATGTTGGTAGAGAGTTAAAAGATAATTCTTTTGAGATAGGACGCGTAGGTGATAATCTAGCTAGAGTTAAAGATGAACTTCACCGCATTAGCAAATATGCTTCTATGGTTGCTACTCAAGCTTAGCAAGTACTCAAAGCTCAAAATGATTTGCTTGATGAATTGAATAATAAAAATGACTTTGCCGTTAGAGTGGCTACTAGAACTGGTAGAATGACTCAGGAACCTTTGTATCCTAAAGGCCACCCTAAGAGAATCGAGCAAGATTCTCAGAGAAATAATTTAGAGGCACCTAGTTCTTCTAAGAAGAAGAAAAAGAAAAACGATAGAACGTTGCATGCTTCTAGTGAACCTACTTTACACACACCTGAGAATCCCAATGATATTTCTATTTCTGACGCTGAAACACAATCAGGTGATGAACATGAACCTAGCGATAATGTTAATGATAATGTTCATGTTGATGCTCAACCTAGCAAAGATAATGATGTAGAGATTGAACCTTCTGTTGATCTTGATAAACCACAATCAAAGAATCAACGTTATGATAAGAGAGACTTTGTTGGTAGGAAGCACGGGAAAGAAAGAGAACCATGGGTTCAGAAACCCATGCCCTTTCCTCCTAAACCATCCAGGTCAAAGGATGATGAGGATTTTGAGCGCTTTGCTGAAATGATTAGACCTATTTTCTTACGTATGCGCTTAACTGACATGCTTAAAGTAAATCCTTATGCTAAGTATATGAAGGATATCATCACAAATAAAAGAAAGATACCGGAAGATGAAATTTCCACCATGCTTGCTAATTACACTTTTAAGGGTGGAATACCAAAGAAACTTGGAGATCCGGGTGTTCCAACTATACCATGCTCCATTAAAAGAAATCATGTCAGAACTTCTTTATGTGATCTTGGAGCCAGTGTTAGTGCTATGCCTCTCTCTTTATATCATAGACTTGAATTGAATAAGTTGACACCTATTGAAATATCTTTGCAAATGGCTGATAAATCAACTGCTATACCTGTTGGTATTTGTGAGGATGTGCCAGTTGTGGTTGCAAATGTCACTATCTTAACGGGCTTTGTTATTCTTGATATTCCCGAGGACGATAGTATGCCTATTATCCTTGGTAGACCTTTTCTTAATACCGCAGGGGCTGTTATTGATTGCAACAAAGGCAATGTCACT